CAAAAAGAGGTATGGAATGAGGTAAGACTTCACTGGCCATTGCCAACTTTAGAGCTTGCAGGAGTCCACAGGCTAATAATGGGACAATCTCCAGAGGATGGAAAGTCAGGATAGTAGAATCTTCTCAATTCCTCCAGGAGAGAATACAATCCTCTGTCATCTTTATTTTAGCCTCAGTGACAGATGTGTTAAATTCTTTACCTACAGACTTTTAAGATAATAAATATGTTGTTATGCCCACTGAATTTGTGATACTTTATTATGACAGCCATAGGAATCTTATGCTACCTGCAGAATTAAACTTTTAAAAGACAATTAGTGAACTTGTTCTATTCAATATTTATAAAACTCTTTTGTTACAATTAAGGAATATTATTTTCAAGTGTATGAACTAGGAACTGCTACATAAGAGATCACAAAAAAATTGAAATTATTACTAATGTGTAATTATTACAAAATGAGAGAAAAGCTTACATGAGTTAAACATTATAGTCATATAGTCAAAAACATATATAATATCATGAATTGTAGTAAAAGGGGTATTATTAATGAAAAAGACAAATATTTGAAAAAGTAGTGATTAATAATTTCCAAAATTAAAGTATCATATAAAACTTCAGATTTATTGAGCATATGACATGTCAAAGATAATTTTTTTTAATATGGCTATAGCAAGAAGGAGAGTTCATTGAAGGAGAGGGAAGGAAAAACAGAGTTCCTGAGAAAAATAAGAGGGGTCCTGGAAAATGGGTTGCCAAAGAGCAATTGGGGTGGGGGGGTGTTTATTTGGTTATGAAGTGCCTTGTTCAGGCTTGTTCTAGGTGAGGCTCGTACATGCCTTCCCCTAGTGATGGGGAGGTGTACATGATGGATGAGTCCGATTATGTTTTCCGATTTTGGAGTGGGTATGAAGATCAAGAGGTTCTTTGTCTAGAAGTGTGGGACTATTAAAACCATTATCTTGGCACCAGCAGATGGTGTAATAGTTATGCCACTGTACTTCCACATGGACAACGGTGCTTCAAGCCCTGGACCTGGCAGCTTGAAACTCAAGTCAGGAGCATGTGCATGTAGTATTAAAAATCTTGAGAGGAGAACGGAGGAGAAGGGATTGCAGCCTGGCCACCTCACTCAGGGGGTGATTCTTGCTTTCTGTCTCTCTGTCTCTCTAGTGAGTGCCCACACTCTAAAGCAAAAATCTCTCCATACAATAATAAAATTACAAAATAAGTATCCTAATTTAAAACAATAAATGGCAACATTTTAGATTACTATCAAAGTCAAGGCAAATTATAAAATTTTTCAGAGTGAAATTATATCACCCACACAGTCACCACAATCATAGCATAATTAGAATTTCCACAGTGGTGGAATCTCCAGGAGAGCACTAGGGCAATATTTACAAATAATTGCAAGTAAATCTAACTTGCTGAAGAGTTTCCTACTGTGACATCTAGATTTTTACTCAATGTGAGTAGTGAGCTGTCACAAAAAGAATCACTTTCCCTTCTGTTTTTCACTTGTATATGTTGTTATTCCCTCTTCAACTAAGTTGACCAACCCCCTATATAAAATAAAATACCATCCTTCCCTGTTTTTTCAGTGGATTTGGGATTCTTAAATATTTGGTAGTATTTACCATAACTTGGCTGAAGACAGAATCAAAAGGACGAGAATGATGAATATCAGCTAATTTAAAGAGCAGCTCTTTATATATATATATATATATTATATAGAAATCACTTGTCAAGGCCAGCAGGTGGCATGGTGGTTAAGGCACTGGACTCCCACATGGCTGACCACAGTTTGAGTCCCTGACCTGGCGGCTTACTTTCTCACTTACTCTTTCTCTCTCTCTCTCTCTGTCTCTTTCTGGTCAAATGAAAAAATAATAAATGGAATTAAATAAATAAATATTTTTAAAAATATGAAGAAATCACTCGTCAAGGTGGATGGTCACACCACAATCCCTTCTCCTTCATTCTGCTCTTGGGATCTTGGGTATGCACACACATGCACCTGGCATGAGTTTAAGTCACCAGATCTAGTACTCAAATCATGGTTGACTACATGGAAGTCCAGCGACATGCCACCTGCTGGTCCAAAAAAGAAGTTCTTAATAATAATGTGACAATGTGCTTGTTTCTTTTGCAGTCATATATTACCGTTATACTAAAAAAAAGAAAGAGAAAGCAACCAAAACAAGTATTGGGTCGACTCATACATGTTGTGAGGATGCTGGGGATTGGCATCCATGGGCTAACCGAATGATGGCAACTCTATTAGGATCTCCTTTGATATTTCTCCTGTTCAGTGATCCTTGGAAATGTGCCTGTGTAGGTTTTCAATCATGTCACACCTTTGAGACTTTGAGTCTGTTAAACTTACGTTTTCCTTGACCATGAGTGTATTTGCACTGGCCATTCTCTCTGCCTGGAATACTTCCTCACCCTTGCTTGGGTTTACATGGCTTGTTTCCTCACTTCTTTTAAATCTTAACTTAAGTGTCACAGGTTTAGTGTCAGTTCCCTGATGACGTTAGTTACAATCAGTAACCCTTATCATAACCATTTTTTTTTTCTTTTTTGGAGAGGTTTTTGCTATAGAGCATGTGTGATCACCAGAAAGACAGAGATAGACAGACAGAAAGTGAGAAATCACCCCCTGGGGGGATGGCCACACCACATTCCCTTCCCCTCCATTCTCCTCTCGGGATATTGGACACACACACACACACCCACCCACCCACACACACACACACACACACGCCCAGCGTGAGTTTAAGCCACTGGGTCTGGGACTCGGACCACGGTTGACTACATGGGAGTCCAGTGATACAGCCATTACACTAACTGCTGGTCCTGACCATTTTATTTTTCAGAAAGCAAAATAAATTTTTATTTATTTATTTGCATGCTACACAGAAGTTTTATGCAGTTCATTCAGAAAACACTGACAAAATACATTTTAGTTGCAAATTCACAGATATAAGCTACAAGGTATAAAGTTGTGTATAACAAAAATAGTTAATATTTATAACAATAACTTACAGATACAAACTAATGATAAAAATCCAGTTTCACAAATGGCTGTAAATATTTTGCACTCTGTCAGTCCTTTCTTCTTGGCAAAATACTCTTTGGATAACAAATAGATTAACAGATATGCACTAGAGTGAATTATTTCCAAAATCAAGAAACCTGTTAAAGATTTTTAAGATATATAAAAATGGCAATTTCCCCCATAAATACAACAAATCTAAATATGGGAATGAAATTCCAAAATCAGGACATGAGTTTGGACAACATTTGCTGTTTGGACAACATTCAATTTCACAGAAAAATGTTAAGTATTTTCTCAGAGCTTTGCAGTCCCTGCTATTCCCAAGGTATGGGGATATTGAAAAGATCTCACCCTGGAGGTTATAACCGGAGTACAAAAACATCCCTCCTGAGCAAACCAAACTTAGAATAATGCTAAGGGAGGCTTGGTAACTTCTCCAGGTATAGCTGTTGGTAAGTAATGTTTTAAAAGTATGGGTCTTTATCAGTGGCTAACTGAACACAAGGAGGTGATTTAATAGGGAAATGGAAACTTTCTGGTTGAGGGATTTGGTTAAGGCAATTGACTATAACTGAGCATATTGGCATAATCTCATACACATTTGAACAACTACTTGAGATTTTTTGAACCATTTCTGAAAAACTTCAGTTTTAGACAATTCTTCATGCAACTCGTATATATGACTTTTACTAATTATTTTAACTCAATTTTGTTGTCCTCTTCCTGAACTTCAAACCACATTCTCATTTCTCAGATTTTTCTCTCCCTCTTTTTTGTTTGTTTGTTTGCTATAAGGTATATACACTTGCCAGACAGAGACACAGAGATGTACAACAGTAAGAAAATGTTCTAAGTATACTTAACTTTATTAAGATGAAAGTATGACAACTTCATATAATAAGAGAAGTAGTTAAAGAGTGGTATGTATAAATAAATATTACTTTACCTGTCAATTGTGTGATGTTTTATAAATGTGAACACTAATATGTGTGTGTGTGTTTTCACATTTATTAATCTGTGTTTCTTTCTTAACAGTCACCAGCAGGAAGACTCTTAAAAATGGCAAAACCTATTATCATATAAGGAGTTAAGCGGCCTATATTCATTCCATTGTAAGCAAACCTAGACTAAAATAATTATCCCGAGATAAAGTTCACTTGGCTTTGTTAGTAAAACCTCAAGATATTGTGCCTCTCTGCTATCCGCACCAGCAAAAAAGGAGAAATTGGAAGAAGACTATGGGGTGAGAAGTGGTTTCAGGGACTTAAATGATGGGACATCTACATCCATAAAAATTGTTTTAAAAAGTTCTAGTTTGTTACATTTATGATTATGCTGAATAATGAATTACATTTACTCATCCAAAAAATGTGACCCATACCGGCTTTCATCATGCTCAAAGCACATTGCCCCTGCTTCTTTGATCATAAAATATATACTCACAAATGAAACCACTTTTACATAAAGTAATATTAAAATATTTTCAGGGAAACATTTTCTGTATTTAAATTAGCAAGGGAATAATGCCATCTTAATATCTTATTAGTTTAAGTTGATGATTAAGGTAACTGTTACAACCACTAATATTAATTTTAAACTGCTGACATGAAGACTCAGCAGTAAAGGGACCTTCTCTAGTTCTTGACTTGGGATCAGTCATAGCAGAGAACTTGATATATGTATATCAAATATCTAATAAATGTGTGTTGAACTAAAATGTTGAAGTTAATTGAATTTATCTGATGAAATGCATTGAAATCTTAAGGCTACATTTCATCATTAAATTTTATATACTTTCAATTCTCTATGATGTAGTAATATAACAAAAATTTTCCTGCTTCTCTATTCTGTCTGTGATCTGAGTAAAGATGAGACTACTACATGAATAAAAATCATTTGGTCTATAATATAGTTCATAATAAAAAGACTACCAAAGAATGGGTTCATTTAATAACACTCTCTTCCATCCCCACATGTTCCTCCTTCTGGGCATCCCTGGGCTGGAAAATATGCATCTTTGGATTGGCTTTCCTTTCTTTGTTGTGTTCTTGACAGCTATACTTGGGAATATCATCATTCTTTATGTGATTCACTCTGAGAGTAGTCTCCATCAGCCCATGTTCTACTTCCTGGCTATTCTATCATCTGCCGACCTGGGCCTGTCCACATCCACCATCCCCAAGATGCTTGGCATCTTCTGGTTCAACCTGCGGGAAATTGCCTTTGAGGGATGCCTCGTCCAGATGTTCTTCATACACCTGTGCACTGGCATGGAGTCAGGTGTGCTCGCAGCCATGGGCTATGATCGCTACGTGGCCATCTGTAACCCTCTTCGCTACACACTGGTGTTGAAAAACAAGGTGGTGTTCACTATCGCATGGGTAATTCTACTGAAACCATTTTCTTTGTCCGTACCCTTTATTATACTCATCCTACAGTTACCTTTTTGTGGACACCAAATAATACCACATACTTACTGTGAACATATGGGCATTGCCCGCCTGTCTTGTGCCAGCATCAGGGTCAACATGATTTATGGCTTATTTACCATTTCTACTCTCATGTTGGACATTGTAGCCATTGTCATTTCTTATGTCCAGATCCTCCGTGCTGTATTTCGACTGTCTTCCCACAATGCCCGACTGAAGGCACTCAGCACCTGTGGCTCTCATGTGTGTGTTATGTTGACTTTCTACTCTCCTGCATTTTTTTCATTCATGACCCATAGATTTGGCTCCAATATACCACGCTACATTCACATCCTTTTAGCCAATTTCTATGTAGTCATTCCCCCTGCTCTCAATCCCATAATTTATGGTGTTAGAACTAAACAGATTAGAGAAAAGGTACTAAAAATGTTTTCCAAGAGATAAAACATAGTCCTGGTATATGTAAAAAATCATATTTAAGAAAGGAGTGACACTAATTTTCTATTTTCAAAATGAAAAGAATACGTTTGAAAGGTATGCAGGATTATCTTAGTGGGGGTTATCAATGGCAGTTCTTTGGCCTGTGCAGTCTCCTTCTCCAACTCAGAAATGAAATGTTAAACCCATATTGAGTGCATAAATAGAAGTGTTTTGCAATTTTATATTGTTTAGAAATTATTTGAATTCCCAGGGACCAGCAGTTAGTGTAATGGCTATGTTGCTGGACTCCCATGTAGTCAACCATAGTTTGAGTCCCGGACCTGGTGGCTTAAAACTCATGCTGGGTGTGTGTATGTGTGTGTGCCCAAGATCCCAAGAGGAGAATGGAGGAGAAGGAATTGCGACGTGGCCAGCCCCCTTGGGAGGTGATTTCTTGCTTTCTGTCTCTCTGTCTCTCTCTGTCTGTCTGATGAGTGCATGCGCCCTATAGCAAAAACCTCTCCAAAAAAAAAAAGAAAAAAAAGAAAGAAATTATTTGAATTCCTAATGTAGAAAAAAAACATTAAAAGACAGGCATTGTATGTCCCCACTTAATATATACTGAAAGTCTGTACTCTATACCAAAAAATGAACATATAACAGAAGGGAGGCCAACTGTAGATATTAGAGACAGTATATAAGGGGTAGGTAATAGGAGGTGGGTAATAAGGAAAGGGAGGGAGGGAATTAGGCAGAAAAACAAGCAAAATGGTTAATAGACATCAAGTGAAAAGTTATCTGTTGATGATAATGTATATGGTAATGTGTTTGACTTAATTAATATTCACCATATTAACACTGGGAAAAACCATGCTGTACATTACAAAGAAATTCAGCAATTAAATGTAAATAAAAATGCTAATTTTTTAAAAAGAAAGATATGTTGTTATGGTTCTGTTATGAGTAAGCATATTAAAGTTATTAAAGCAAATCCCAATAAATATGCATGCATGTATGCACGTGCACACACACACACACACACACACACACACACACCCAGGGTTAGTTGGTTCTCTGTGATTTCAACCATCAAAAAAAATTCAAGAAAATTGTGATTTTTTTGCACTATCTAGCATTTGTTGTGCATAATGATTTGAGAGATGATTTTCTACTTTTCTAGCTTCTAAGTGAAAACTAGAAGTCCTGGTAGTCAATTTAAATAATGGTGTAGCAGTTGAGTAGAAGGACATCTATGATTCATTGCTAACTTTCTACAGTCGTATTTATCAAAGAATGAAGTGTTGACTGATCATGGACTATGGAACTCTAAATATCCAGGATGATTGTTAAAAGTTTTATGTGATCCACTACCAAAATTTTAAATTCAATAGTCTGAGTGGACTTGAGCAATCTGCCTTTTGTTTTGTTTTGTTTTTGTTTTTAAAACAGGTCTTGTCCTCTTGTAATCCTTTTTTCTCAGCTTCCCAGTAGGGAATATGTACATGCCTACATATGCAGATTTAATTTTTTTTTGACAGGGTCTTACTTTGTTGATTAGGATAGACTCAGGCTTATAATTCTTTCACCTTAACCTCCTCAGTTTCTGAGATTACAGCTGGCCTTTTTTCTGGAGTAAGATTTGAATCTGGACTGCCCATGTCATCCCAGCATGCAGAACAGTGTTTCTTAGCAGCATTCCTACTGCAACTGTGCCAAATTTATATTTTAAGTTTATTTATTTATTTCTTCCATGAATGATAGAGACAGAGAGAAAAAGAGAGATGGTACCTCCAAAGGGCCCCTGAAAACATGCATGATCCCTAGTTACAGTCAACCCAGGGTCAGGGCACATACACACCTACTGAGAAAAGAAATAAATATTTTATACTATTCAGAATCTGATGACAAGTAGACATGAGACTTCAGCCATTGATACTGTCCATTAGGGAGTCAAAAGATCTGATTAAAGTATTCTTGGCTGTGGGGCAAAAAAAAAAAAATGTAGTCATGGAAACCAACCTTGAACCTATGCATATAAAATAAAACTGTGCTAAAATTGTCAACTAAATTAAATTATGCAAAACCCTGATGAATGATTTTGTAACTCTTTCTACTGTCTTTCCTTTGTTCCCTTTAACTATAAAAGAAAACCCCCATATTCTGTGATTTCAGAGCATTGGTTACAGGCCTCTGTAGCTTTGCTTCAAGGTAGCTGTCCAAGGTAGTTCAGCCATGCATAAAACATTTTGCTTGCTTGACAAAGCTTGGTTAAAATATTTTTATTTTTGGTAGATAATGGCACAGTTAGGGAGTTTTCTGGATGCAAATCTGGAGCTTTATTGGTTCCCATAAACACAGAATGACTATGTAGAAAAACAATGTTTTCGAAGATTAAGATTTTAGAGAAAAAAAGACCCTTTAATAATCAGTATTTGTATTTTTTTTTTAAATGTAAGGTACTTTCCTTGACAAATAAAAGTTAAATAGGGTAAATTTAATTGGTTTCCACTTCATACATCAAAAATTGTGGATACTAAAATAAGACTCCCTCAAAAAAAGAGTGGGTAATAATATAGAAATAAACAGAAAAACAATCATAGAGTTAGAGAAGGAACACCAATGTGTCATTCAAATGACTACAAAGTGAGATTTTCTCATAACCTAATCTCCAATTACATTCAGATTAATTTTTATATAATGGCAAGATTTGGGCTTTTGTGCTAATTGGAACTCTTAGACACAGTGCATAACTGTTAAAGTGATTAGAATAAATTTATTATCTTTTATCAGTCTCATGGGATTCTAATTTTAAAATAATTTATTTTAGGGACTATTTATTGATTTATTTATTTATGTTTAGAGAGAGATTTCTTACTGTAAGGTGAATGTACTCATTGGAAAGACAGAATTTGAGAGACAGAAAGCAAGAAATCAACCCACAAAGGGGATGGCCACACCACAATCCCTTTTCCTCTATTCTTCTCTTGGAATTATGGACATGCATGGACATGTGCCCAGCATGAGTATTAAGTCACCAGGTCCAGGACTCAAACCACAGTTGACTATGTAGGAGTCCAGAGACATAAGTATTACGCTGTCTGCTAGTCCCTTGGGAACTTATTTGGGACCTATTCAGGAAGGCCACAAATTATCTATAGTAATAGCCTTTTAACTATATAACTATCTTTAGACAAGTTGGTTTTCACAGAAAAAAATGTAGCTATCTAAATGTTAAAAATAGGACTGTCTAAATAAATCACACATTCTAAGATAAGATAGCATATTTTTTTTAATATATTACACACCAGCAGAAATAATTCAATCCAAAGGCTTTGAAAAACTAAACAATTGAAGAAATCTGTCCCGTATCCTCTTGGTTCTTACCCCATAGATAATGGGGTTCACCATGGGTGGGACAAGAAGGTAAACATTGGCCACGAAAATGTGGACATGGGGAGCCACATGATGACCATATCTGTGGGTGAGAAATGAAAAGAAGGCCGGAGTATAGGACACTAAGATGACACAGACATGAGAGCCACAGGTCCCCAAAGCCTTGAGTCGAGCATCTTTGGTTGGGAGATGAAAGACAGTGTTGAGAATAAGGACATAAGAACAGATGATCAGTATGAAGTCCACTCCACCAGTAAGGAAGGCAACAATGAGGCTGTAGGCTCTGCGGATTCTTGTCTCAGCACAAGCAATCTTGATGAGGGCCATAAACTCACAGTAGGTGTGAGAAATAATATTGGTTCTGCAGTAGGGAAGCCAACGAAGTAGGAAGGGGTGAGGACTGAGAAGTGCCACGCCCCTGAGTACAATAGCTAGGCCCAGTCCTCCAATGACAGTGTGTGTCAGAATAGCTGAATGTCTTAATGGATGACAAATGGCTACATAACGGTCAAAAGCCATGGCCAGGAAGAAACCAGACTCCATGGTAGAGCAAGAGTGAATGAGGAACACTTGAGTGAGGCAGGCTTCAAAGCGAATCTCTCGATCACGGAACCAGAAAAGGCTGAGAAGTTTGGGCACAGCTGTAGTACACACCACTAGGTCAGCCACAGCCAGCATGCATAGGAAGAGGTACATTGGCTCATGGAGGCTTGAGTCTGTCTTGATGATAAACAGAAGACAGCAGTTCCCCAGTAGGGCCAAAAGGTATACCACACAAAAGGGGATGGAGATCCAGAAGTGAGCAGCCTCTAATCCAGGGATACCAATGAGGATGAAGGTTGATGGATGAGCATCAGTCTTATTGTACACTGCCATAACAAGTGTTTTATGTCTTAGCTTTTTCTTCATGTGTTTTTCTCTAAAGCAAACAAAATAATAATAATAATAATAAATTCTGAAACTTTTGATGAGTTAAGAAAGTAAAAATGTATGTATCTAGAGTATTCTAGCACATGGAGTACTTTCAATACCTGTGAGTATTTTGATAGGTATTATTTCATTATCTTATGGTGAATCAGGTATTGTTATAGTGTAACTCTATCTCATAAAGGAAACCATCTAAATCTATCTCTATCTCTCTCTCTCTCTATATATATATACATATATAGAAAGAGAGAGATAAATATATCTCTATATGTTAATATATAGAGAGTATATGGAGTAAGAGTTGCAAGAGTATTTTATTTTCCTTATTGACAGTCACTGAACCCTGAGAATCTTCTTATCCAGAATAGAGCACTTTCACAAACATTTACCAATATAGTTCCATTGATAATTTTTCATTTATAGACACATTTTTAAGTTTCAATGAATCTAGTTTTTAGAAACTAAGGAAAATATTTAAGTATTGAATATACAGATGTACATATTTCCACTGATGAAAAATGTAATTCCAATCAAAAATGCAAGAATGCATAACTTATGGGTTAGGAAAACTTAGTGAGAAATAGTGCAATTTTAAGTTAAATAGAGTGAGGCAGGAGGGTTGATAGAAATTCTTGAATAGAATATATGTATATATATATATGTATACATACATATATGTGTATATATATGTTTTTATATATGTGTATATGTGTGTATGTGCATATATATATATATATATATATATATTTACCACAATATATTTTGGGGTCATGCAAGTTATAGGGTATGATTTTGAGATAGGAAAACCAGCATTTGGGAGTGTGTGTCCATTGTGAAATTATCAGTAGGAGGTTCATTTATAACCTCATGGAACTCATACAGAATGATGATAAGGGTGAGGTGATGAGAGTGTGTCAGGAAATGAACAAATCAATATATTATTTTCTGTTTGTTTGTTTTTAGTTGTTGTTAGGAGGTATATGTACTCACCAGACAGATACAGAAAGACAGAGAGAGAGATACTAGAAAATACTCTTAATGGGGTATGCTCATGCCATAATCAAGAGATTGATTCTCTCCCATCTCTACATCCTTTTATGATTTTGTGCACTCATAGACATGTACTTGGCATGTTACTCTAGCTACCAAGTCCAGGTCCCAAATCATGTGGTCAGCCATGTGGGATCGAGCTTAACCACCCCATCACTGTCTGGACCAACACAGTATAGTTTTAACCAACAGAATATCAATACTGGTGACAAATGGTAGTGATAGTTGGGTGATATTTGGGTTATATTTTGGCTAAAGCAGAACTCTTAAGCATAATTGCTAGGCATTTGTTCTGACAAATATAGAAAATATTGTGTAGTGATAATTAAAAGTACTATTTTAACACTGTGTGACAGTGACAACATACTGCTCAAGAGAAACCATGATAACCATTGTCAAATCTCTGGCCTGAAACATGCCAGGCATATGCATGAGTGCCCAGGTCTGGGTGCAGGAGGACGGGAAGAAGATCACAGCATGAGCAGGCCCTGGGGTGGGTGCTTATCTCTCTGGCTGCCTTTTTCTGTTTCCAGTTCTTACATACATGTGTGCACATGTTATCATGAATAAAGAAAACTATTATAAAAATAATACCATTTCAGCAAAACAATGTTACTATTTGTCATCTTAAGGAATATTTTTTACATATATGCATGGAAGCATACACAGTGAATCTTCTGTAAAACTGCCTTTAATAGGCTAAAAATGAAATAGTTAAAAATGGCCAGTAGTAAAGTAATAGTTAAATTGAAAACAACATCTGTGGCAATTTATGTTATGTTGTACTCAGCAACATTTAAAATGAATAAGTTGTTCCTTTACTCACCATGTAGCTATGTCATGGTAAACCCATTATATAAGCTGAAAATATTATTATGTGGAAAATATAGCTGAGCCTACCACATAGCTCAGTGGTTGCCAGAACCAGAACCCATATTACCATGGTTTGCATATCAGTCTCAGCAGCTTGAAAAACCCAGCAGGAGAACACACTTGCATGCTCAAAATCCTGATGAGAAGGAGGGGTGAAGGAAAAAGGACTGCAGCATAATGATGCTTCACAGGGGGATTCTGTCTCTATCTCTCTCTGTCTCTGTCTCTGTCTTGAGCACTCTCTGGCAACCATAAAAATTATACCTAACTCACCAAACATTATAGCTGAGCTTAGTTTATATGCTCAACACAGTTACATTAGCCTATAGTTAGGCAAAAATATCTAACAGAAATCCTACTGCATTTTGTTTGTTTTTTATTTATTATCATCATGTTTTTATAATACATTGAATCACATACATCTTTACAGTGACCGATCCTAGTTTCTAATAAAACATTTAATAGCTCCTGTAGCTCACTGGATACTGTAAAGAAAGTTAAAAACAGAATGGTTGTAATGGTAGAACTATAACTGGTTACTGTTTTATCATTGGTTTGACTTATTTTAACATTTGTTATAGTTTATTTATTTCCTTCATGAGAGAGAGTGAGAGAGAAACACCCTCAACAAGGGCCAACACTATGATTTGGCTGATTTTCACTAGCCAGGATCATGGGCACACACATGCCTGCCTAGAGCGAACAAGCTGACCCAGGAACCCAATCCTGATTCTACATACAGCTTCTAGCACGGCAGAACATTGCATAAGTTCTGCAACACTGTCCTAGGCCCCAGTTTTACTTTGATAGTGACAATGTATTCAATGTAGAATTTAAAATAGGTAAATGAACAATGCACAATTTGATTTCATAAACTGGAAAAAAGAAAATACAAGCTAAGCATTATAATGAAATGTGGCCTTCTATGTCTTGGAAAATACTGAGTATTTTCTCTAAGCACTTGAAATACATTTTACAATTCTCCTCAGCAAGGAAAACTGCTCAATTACTTGATTTATGAAAGTGGTGCTCTTGTATGTTTGTTTTCATGGTAGTTTTTAATCCATGAAACTGTCAGTAACTTTTGGCTCAAACTGAAGACACAACTCACATATTAACTTCCCTGAAATTACTTTTCTACACCTCTCAAGTCATCGTTGATACCGTTCTTTGGTATCTCTATGAGGTTTGCACTTACCTGTATACTAGTTATATTTTATATGTCTGCTTGTCTTTCCACATCCTTTATTAAACTACAAATTCTCATTGGCAGAGACAATGTTTTATAAATGCATTTTCTTGTTGTTCCAATGAATGCATGAAGAAAAATAGGAAAGGAGAGGTAAGGGAGTGTTATTATTTTCCTGGCAAATAATTCCAGTATAAATTTAAGACAACCAGTCTTATAACACTATAAATTCATCAGTACAAGTTTATTATAGTCTATGCCAATACCCAGATATGATATTAACAGTTTCTTATTATAATGTTAAATTTTGAGATATACCCAAGCATTAGTCTTGAACAAAATTGAATTCTATAGATATTCTTTTTTACTTGATTCAGTATAAGATGAAGAAAATAGAAACGGAGGGTAAAGAATCTCATATATGCTTTGTGGCAGAAATAAAATATGCTTTGGGAGAGGCTTATCATGTTTTTCAGCTAAATCCTACACTCCTAGTCATCTCCTTATAAAATAATATAAATGAACATAAATTGAGCATGTGTTAGGTATTATGTTAGGTGCATTGTCAGCATTATCCCATTTAATACTTAAAGAAGTTTTTTGAGTAAGGATTTCTACTTATGCCACAGAGGGGAATACAAGGTGAGAATATTCAATTAGTTTGTCAGAAGCTATTCCAGTATGAATTAATGAAAAAGGAATTTGTCCCCACATACAATTAAAAATTTTTAATTTTTACCTTCAACCTTCGAATGTATGTATCTCATAGGGTTTCGTAACTATAAGATGAAATTTCTCAAATATCACAGATTTCTAAGATTTGCTCAAAACATAAGGCTAATATATCCATATTTTCATCCTTCGCTTCTTCAATTTTCTTATGATATATTAATGTAAACAGAAAAGCCCAAGTACAAATATGATCTTAAGGAAAGTTGCAACCTAGTCCATATCCAAAGCCGAGTAGAGATGCCATTGATTATAAGATGCAGGAACCTAAATGCAAATGGGATCAGTAGACCCAAGAAATCTTACAGAAGCCTGTTTTTTTTTTTTTTTTTTTTTTTTTTTTTTTTTTTTTTTTTTTTTTCCTTTTTTTTTTCTTTCATCATTTTACACAGCCTGTTTTTTGGGGTTTTTTTTTTTTTTTTTTTTTTTGTAGCCTATTTGCTCTAACTGGAATCTTGAAAGCTTTCTGCTGACTATTGTCCACCCAGTTTATGACATCAGGAGAGCAATTGTGCAGTGCCTTATCTCACTAGGGGTTCTGTACAGATCCGGAATGAGCTCCTGCTTGGCTTCAGGAAATCTTTGAATCTTTCATGACTACCAGCTTTTCTGAATGAGCTCAGTTATAGATGGTTTCCAAGTACTTTCAGACTCCCATGGGCATGGAATGTAGATGCGTTCTCCATGGGGGTCAGAGAAATAAGGCTTTGGGGGTTAGAGGTCTGAGTTCAGAAAGTCTTTAATGCTTAACATCTCAATAAAACAACCTATGAGGATAGGGAGATGACGAGTTATTCTCTAATGTCTCTGGAGGCTGCCTCTCAGCACAGCTGCTTGAGTTTCAGTTGTTTTTTTTTTTTTTAATATGTATCAACATGTATCACAAAAGAAAGATGGTGTCTGAACCTTTTGTTTTAAATAATCACTTCTTATTTTTAATGTAGAAAAGTATAGAGAAAATACCACTTTCATATTAAGTTTAATTTTATTTCATAATGGTTTCAAATATTTAATTTATATTAGACTTCACAATTTTGCATCATTATCCATATTTTCTGAAGTAATGTACAATTTTTTTCATTTATAATTTACCAGAGAAAATTTAATATGAAATTTATTAAGTATATGAAATAAATCTAAA